ATTAAGTCTGTGTTTGATTAGATTTCCGTCAATAGTTGGCTATGCGCTGCGGGGCTCCGGAATCAATCAGTATTTTGAGGGTAAGAACTATGTGACCAAACCATTGTAACCGCCGCCGTTGTATTAGCGATCGCGTCATATGAGATTAGAACAACGATTTCTGGCCGCTTCATTTGAGATCTGATCCCTCCATCGTACTCCCAGAATTGTTCTTAAGCACCAGTGATCAAAGACTTCTAAACTTCGACTCTAACTGGCCAGGCTTTCACAGCTGTATAGCAAGACAACTGACTGCTGCGGAAAAAACTCGGATTTTTACTTGAGGCTGATTTCATTTCTACACCAAATGAAAATATTCAGCTGTAAAAACGCCTCTCTTGCAGCATCGACGCGCACTTGCACCTCGTCTTTAGGTTGACCGTTGGGAGTATGGTTTAGCTCAAGTTTTTAAAACTTTCGACGGATTCCATCGGCTCGTCTTTTAGCAGTAAATATGCAGAACTGACCGCTCTATCGATTTCAAACCAGTGAAAGTGAGGGCAATCGGCCTGAAACGTTTCACGATTGGGGCCTTTGTCGTTCCCTTGGGGTGGGTGTAATTCTCACTGGGCGTCAACACTCCGGAATAATTCGGATTTCGAGTGAAAGGTTAGCTGCGTGCAAAGTGTGAGACAGTAGCTTAGCACCTTCTTTAATAAGTGTAGGACTTAAGTTCTTTGGACCAGGTGTGGTCGATACCTTGAAGGAACGCATTTATTTATACATTTCACTAGAGATAATGGGTACAAATGATGATTAGATGCGATGATGGAGAACTCAAGCCAATATAGCCTGGGGCTGTGTCCGATGAATAGACAAATGCAGCATTCAGTTGTTCAATGTCAATAGAAGAACTGGAAATCATTTTCCTTGACTTGCGGAGTAGTTTGTTTCTACACCACATGGATTTACATTTCCTTGTCCTGAAAAACCGTTTTATTTCACTCTTAATCAGACAAGATGGTCCTTGCATTTTAACCCTCCTGCCATTTTAAATGCATATTTCTTACAAAGCAAAGACGTATAAGTAAAGGTGCTGGTATTCAACTATGTTAAAGGAACCAATCACAGGACAGCACATATCCAAAACACGGTTTAACACGTCTCTTAGAAACGTCACATTGGACAGCTAGGTTGTGGTTAAAGGAAAATAGTCAGTCACTACTTTGAGAGACTCTTAGCAGAACAATATTGTCTGGGTAAAGATCTCGCTGAAGAGCATGTGTTTAGGTCGAATAAAAGTAAAATGTTCTGAGTGTGAGTTAATCTTAGGTCTAACCAGGATCAGTCTTGAGATGCGTTTCCTCAAAATCGCGGTATTCTCAATCGGCTCTAGACAGTCAGTCGAAGACGGTTAGCCCATTAAGTGCACACCGTGGCTCATGTATCAAAACTCCACCCTAGCCCAGAATGATCAATAAAAAACTGAACTAGTCCTAAGAAACGATAAATTCATCACAAGGTCTATCGAAGCGATAAAGAGAATGCCATTCCATTGACACTATCCGTCCTCCAAAGTCGACGGTGGCCCAAGTGTTATAATAGATGCACATCAAACAAATTACACAAGCAGCCAATAGACAGCAACCAAAACCAGCGAAAAATTGCATGGAAACTTGAAACTGAATTGCACAAACTCTTTGTTTTGATCTCCGTCCTAATTGTTGTTGTTGTCTTGATGAGCCGCTCCTACCATGGACTATTTCTGTTCCGTTGAAATTTTGCGCGTGGAAGATATTGGNNTTGGTCGTCTAGAGGTCTTCGACTACCGATGTTTGCGTAGTTTGGCACGAGTTGGATGAAGCGAGCGCGTAAGCAACTCTGAGGTAGGGCGTCGCGTATTCGGTAACGATTCGATGGAGAAATCGTTGTCCCATCGAATTCCGATTAGTCGGCTTCGCTAGTTAGGACACGTATTGCGAATGTCCAGCCGTCGTCTTCCGCACCATGCCCTATTCGCAGTTGCGGCTCCAGGTTGGAAGNACCGCGTGGAGATTGACAGGTGACGCGGAAACCAGGCATGAAGAAATGCACGGAGCGATTGGATAGAACAGGTGTCTCCCGTCTTCCAGGTTGGGGTGCGAAAGACTGCGACTGGTTGGTTGGTGACATTGAAGGATATGACGACTAACCGACAGCAGTGGCGTTCTTGTCATTTCTCATCAGATCAGAATGCTTGAAAAGGTATGTATGCACAGTTAGATTGTGTACTCTGTGTATTGACCATTGAGATTCATTTTCTGCCTCCCTCCAATTAGGCCCCACCCCTTCCCATCACGTGTTTTATCACTCGATTTGTGGACATTGTGAGCTTGGCAGCGATCAGTGAAGTTCGCTTCACTGTATCTCGCTGTTCGATGATGATGATGATGATGAGCTGTTATCAAACAACAACCACACTTGAGCAGCACTGATCCAGCACACACAACAGGAGATAGTTGTCTAAAAGTATTTCCATAACTGATTGTTTTGAAAAATACAATTACCCATTCATCATCATTCCAACTTCAAGTGAATCCACCAATCGCATTCTACTGAGAGCCACACAAAGTGATTGCTGTTCTGACCGTCATACATTACCTACTAGACTGGTTATATCACAACATCCGTCCCACTAATGAAGGGTTCAGCTTAAGCTTTATTCTGTTGAGACCAAGCTTTCCTTGGTTGCCATTTCATTTTCGACCATATGCGATTGCCTGTATAGCTTTTGCATTTAAAGGCACAGTTGACAAGATGCTTAATAACGGTACCTGGATATGGAGAATTAATTCACAGTATCTCACATGGCTAGCAAAATAAATGTGAAATCGTTCAATTTTTGTACTAAAAGTCCCGTATTAACTACTATATTCCATCCACAACATAAATGTACGATCAACTATGTGATAGAATGGTGGTGTTGGCAGTGTATCACTAAAAGATGGACTCGCGGAATGATGAACAAACAACACGTAGTCCCAGCATTAAAGATTTTTGCTTCACACGATATGGTGATTGATATAAGGGATGAATCTAACAGTCACGAGAACTGGCAACATTGTCCCTACCACTCCTAGTGGTAAATCACACAAGGTCATGATAATAAACATGTAGTAATAAACAATGTTTATGATTGGGTGGCGGCAACTCACTCAGCGGTTGATATCATTCCTCTACTCTCGTCTGTAACACGTGATTCATGATCATGATCACAAATTTCGCTGTTTCCTTTTCGAATGCGATATCATTTTGGCGACTGTGGTTCATGCATGCTGCAATTTTCTCTGGCAACGCAGCATATTTCTCACAGAAAAATCAAGTTCGCATTCAGAAACTTTCCAACCTATCTTTCGTCGAATATTATAAGAGCTATTCCAGATTGAAACAAAACCTATCACAAATTATTAAGTGAATTATTCAAATTCCTAGACTGAAACAGTGCTACTTTGCTTTAGCTTCGTTCATTAATGAAGGTTCTGTTTCATGTAACTTCTCTTTGCATACAGCCGTCCAAACTACGGTTCTTTTGATTGCCGGCAACACGGAAATCGGGGGAGTAGCTACGTCAGCACAGTTCCAATGACCAACAACAGCAACTTGGCTAACGGTGGTTTTGGTCTTCTGGGTAATTGTTCACTTCCATTGGCTGTTAACAGCACCGCTCGTTGTCCACCTAACGGAGGATACACGTCAGCTGCATTTCATCCTAACGGTCAGCAAAGCCGCAACAGTCTAATCGACTGATGTATCGAGGTGGACATAGCTTCATTGGACGCGGAGGGCCATTCACTGGAGTCGATCAGCAAGTTCCACCAGGTATGCCTCCTCCAATGCCCTTGTTTCAGGCACAACCAAGGCCTCAACATTCTCATCCAACTGCCCTGTTGCCACCGGGGACGCCGTCTGCTGCTGCAATGCATCAGTTTCTAGCGGCCGCAGCGGCAGCAGGTTTACATCCGGCTGCTGCTCCGAATGCCGGTGGCAATGCCAACGGACCAACAGGTGGTACCATGTCTGCTGTCTCTACAGGGGGCTATAGTGCTCACTTGCCTCCAGGTACTGGAGCCCCGTTCCCCGGAGCGACTTATCAGGCATTTCACCCTGCCTCCATGTTCTCTACTCCAAATTCAGTTTCGGCCCACCACACGATCTCGTCTCATGGTCGCGATGGTACCGCAACTACCGTGGTTTTCCCACCTCCGACCGGTCTTTTCCACACCGGGGGCTCAGGTGCTCTTGCCGGAACCACACCCACTTTCAGCTCTGCTAATTCGGCCGCTGGACATCAGGCTCTGCAGCAACAACAGCAACAGCAAGCAACTTTGATCCCAAGCAATTTCGCTATGTCTTACTACGGTCAACCGCGGACATACGGCGCTGGATCAACTGCTCCTCAACGACAATCGCCACATCAACAACAACAAGCGGCTATGGCTGCGGCAATGGTTGCAGCTATGTCAAATGGTGCGCAAGCAACCGTTCCTGGTCCGGATCCTAATACTTCAATATCCTCACCAGTCAACAACGCGCAACCCGTGCAAAACGATAATTCGTTCGCCATTGATTCAGGCACTGCCTCCAGCCCACCTGCTACCGGTTCCGTTAAAACCGGTCCCGTGATTCAACCAGTTTACCGAGGCAATGGAGTTGGTGACTGGTGGCCCACAGTCGCGGCTAGCTGAATGATGTGGTTCCCACTAAGCTTCTCCCGCCCACTCACCCATACCAGATTAATCGTGTTTCGGTCATTGCTCACTGACTGTTCACTGACACATTAACTGTCCGTACTGTTAAGCGGTTATTCCAATAACCTCTTCATTTTATCTCAGTTTTCATCTTTTTTGTGTAGGCATGCCATGTGTTCGTTTCTATCGGCATTACAGTTAGGTACCACTCACAAACTTCGTTACACATCCCACTGTTCTGGCTTTGAGCTTTGGCGTTCATTTGACTCCTAAAATTATTTGACTTAACTAGTGGTTCTCTTTCAATTCGTTTGCGCGTTCAGTTAATCATCCCTGTGTTCATTAATGACTCCGTCCCCTATTCCTACTACGCTTTTCCTAAGCACAACTTGGTCTGACTGTCTGTTTTGTTGGACCATCATCTTTTTATTCTATTCTGTTGACGGTCATTTTGTGTAATTCTTTCACCTACAGCTTTATGGTGCTCAGTTCTATTTCTCTTTTCGTACTTCGAAAAGCCTCGTTGTTTATCCTGCACTGCTACATCTTGTTGTCTATCGCGTCTTTTTCTCAATTAGCTTATCATGTTTGGACCGTCATCCGCACCTGCATCACCATTTGACCATTTATGTTTGTTATTCCTAGCGTTCTACTCGGCTTTGCTGTTCTCTACTTCGTTCCGCGCTGTTTTGTTGGAAATCGCACTTGCTTATCGAGTCCACTAGTCAGACATGGATTGGTTTCATGCAAACCAGTTCAATATTGTGCGCGTGTGTATATGCGTACGTTGGGCCACTCGACTGCCTTCTACCACTGTCCACCTTCTACCTTCCCTGACCTTTCTCNAGCATCGACGTTATATGCTACCGAAGGCAGCAGCAGGTGAGCATAGATTAAAATGAAAAAATGCAATGAACATTACGTGCAGTACCTAAAGACTGTCCACGTCGCTGCTGATTCAGCAGGAGTCCCTCAGCTTTTCCATCAGATTGTTCACTCTTTTGAAATCTGGGCCCATCCAGCTGTGCATCATGATCAACGGTCCCGTTTTCCCTAAAATTTGTGATCCCTGTTACTTACCGGTCATATGGAGTCCTGCAAATGTTCCCACTTTTACATTGCCTGGTCGTCTTGTTTTTGCTGCACGCGTTCTACTGAGGCACGTTTTGAAGTGATTACTCGCGCGTACACTCTGTGCCTATAGGAGTTTTGGATCTTCTGTTTGTATACCGGCCTGTGTTGTCGGATAACAATTATGCATAGCGCCATGGGGCTCAACCGGGCCATTTTGAATACCGGCAGCATCATCATACCGCACATCCACCATTATTTACTATCTGGACTGGAATAAGTGCTTCCAGTTTTCTTTCAACTAATGGAATCGTAAACGCGTACTGCTATGATTGAATTATTTAACACGTACAAGCTGGCCACATACCGATGGTTAGCAATCCGTTCCTACTACGTTTCCAAAAATCTCAGGGTTTTCAGTAGCTACAGCAATCATGTCCAATTTTGCTATCTCTGCACACTTCTGAGTGGCATGTTTGCATTTCGCACCCTCACATACAGTCGTGCATCTTAATCTTGTTCTTGCGTGCCTGTGAGACGGTGTCGTGCCACTGATTTTTTATTGTGCGTGCGCGTTCCCAGTCCGCGGTTTGTGCGGCATCCCTAAAAAACCAAGCCCCGAGCGTCATGTACAATGGCTATCCAGTTTTCGTCAGGTTTTGCCTCAGAGATACAACAGATATACATTCTTACATGAGTTTGCGTGCATAGCTTCATTTTGCAGCGTTGATCAACATAAATTGTTTGAAATTGATCCAGACAGAACTCATCTTACCGCGCTCTTTTCCTAATCTAACGCATCCACGAACTCTTTGAACTCTTATTGTTTCAGGTTTATCTGATCTGCTACCAAATCTCCATCAACACTAACTCACTCCTTATCTACACCTCTTTTTCCGTTCCATATCTTGTTTCATCATTCTTTCCTCATCTCGAATACCTTATTCGCCTCTTCACATCATTTTTCGGCCCTGGTGGAGTACAAAATAGCCTTGTTATTACTTCGGCGTTCAGTTCAAGAATGGATTCACGTATTTTCTTGATTGCTTGTGGTGCTCAAACAGCCATTCTCATCAGACGGCGTATATATTGTAATCTTATTTCTTTCTGGGGGTTTTGCTCTATCTAAAGTGGCATACGTATCGTTAGCCTACTACACTCGGGTCGAGAAACCCAATCAATTAGCAAGTCAAGTCAGTAGTAACTTTATACACCCGAAAGGGCGAATTTTCAGTATTTTACATCGTAGTTATGAATGCACGTTTACAAACTCATACGAAATGAAACTGAATTTAGTAGATATCGTCTTTGCCGATGAAGTAGTTCTTTGGAAACTTTCTCTTTATCAACACGTAGATGTGCGAGATATGGCACAAGAGAATTACGACATGAAGAGGAACCGACCAACAAAAGTTTCCACCTAGAGCGTGTTCATAATGTCGATAATGCTGTTGTAAGATCATTGCTTAATAGGGGATGAGTGTTAGAGTATTTCGGCAAGAAAATTTTTACATGCTTTGTCGGTGTTTGTCCATGATAGGGTCTGGAATGTTATCTTTGGTGATGCCAGATATCGCTTATATAGGAAATTCCTTCATACAACTCAAGGGGTGGATATTCACTAGCCTCAGTCTGTCGACCGTTACCTAGCTTTTGAGTTCATTTGCTATATACACTACCAGTTCCCATTTAAAATTCAATCAAATCCTTCATTACTCACTCGAAATGTAATACAACAAATAAAAAAGTGAAACTGACAACAGCGTTAAAAAACAATGGTGTTCATCATTGGTATAATTTGACATTTTGCGCAGATTTTCTGCAAGGAGTTCATGGTTTGTACGAATCCTGGCGAGCTACGGTACAATATAGCGCCTGTAGGCTTTATTGCGTGCCTTTATAAATTGCACCAGATATTCCTTTTTTAACGAACCGTGGAAAATCGACAGGGAGCACGCATGCGTTCGCAAGCCTAACAATCAACTGTTGGGGAATAGAAATTATTCCTAAATGGAATGAGGTAGTGGCGCAGTGGTTTAATCGCTGTAACCGGCGTGCCTTGGACCCTGTGGTTCGTGGTTCGAGCTTCGCCTCCTAACTTTCGTGGTGGGCAACCTCGCTGTCGCCCGGTTCCATATGACCCCTGACTTGGCCTTATGTGGTTCACCACTCCAAATCCCGGAGCTTGAGTTTCCGGTAACTATCATTGAACAGCAGGTTCTACTCCATCTGCTGACCTTAACACCGGTGTGTGATGTAAATAGAAAAATACGGAAGCTTGCAAACTTTGCAGAATGTGTTCTGAACGTGCAGCGACCATGCTAAATTGTAGTAATGCTACGCCAATGTATTTTACCATTGTGGATGTCGGTATGGGTTCATGATTAATAAAAAGTCTAGAAAACCTATTTGTAAGGGCTGCATATGGTTCGTCGGCCAAAAGGGGTCAACGCGCTGACATTTTGAAGCGTTCAGTGCGAGATAACGGGACAATGACCGACTAACAATATCGTTTTGACTTCTGAAGCCTCCTCAGGGATGGGTGTTTTGCGCCCTAAGACAACATCTACAGGCAATAAACTAAGAAGAAATGTCTAATTGTTTCACAGTAAACATCCTGATGTCCCCATTGATAAGCTGTTTTATGAAGAGCGGTGATTTGTTGTACGCTAAACAGTCGGGCAGTTCTTCACCTCCATTGGTGGGGCAGGCCGCCGAGTACAGTAGTGATTGTACTGTTAGTCATATTTCTTAGTTGGAACAACTGTTGACCGTTGAAGGCGCAATGCGTTCTTGCAATGCAGAAATCTTGAGATATGCAAAACTCTTAGGGGAGACGTGAGTGCGATACCTTGCCTACATACCTTACCTTCGAAATTCCGAAAAAAATTGGAGTACGTTTTTTCTTAGTTTCAAAATATGACTGATGTTACATGTGCAATCTTAATGGCAAATTCATTTAGAAATCTAGTGACAAAGACATCTCGCTGTTATATGTCATGATCAGGTTCCACAACCGTTCGTGTACACAAAGTGAACGTATAATCAAAATGAAAAAATGTAATTCGTTCATTGGCTTCTGTTTCTGCTTGGCGTGCTGACCAAGTGACTGAATTGTCCTATTTGAAAATAATCGTCAATCCAGTGATCCAAATTTTTCAAGTGTTCCAACGCAGTTAGGTTGAAACCGAGCATCGAGCCGTAGGAAGCCGTTTGCTCTGCACGCATGCATAATGCCCAGTTTACTGGAATTTCAAGAATAGGAACTTCCAGGTTGCTGCCGCCACTCAACGCCTCGGACAACTCGCTCCACAAGTGGCGTATTTGTTCTTTTATGCCGAAATGCTTGTTGTTCTCACACGCTGGTCGAATTTGATAAAGGGGACATAGAAGCTCAGATTGTACACGATTTAGTATGTCCTTTACCTTGTCTTTAAGTTGCAGTATTTGTTGAACCATGAGACATTGTAATCCTTTGGGGTCGATTGGATGACCTAGGCGTTGAGACAGTTCCACCTGTAATTTTTTTATATCTTGGAGTGAGTGAATACCTCTGCTGCAAAGGGTATATAGAGTGCATGATCTGTTATCCTCCTTTTCCAACAGTAAGGTTAGTTGTTGCATGTATACCAGAAATGCGGGTACTTGACAGTCAATTAATTCCCAGTCGCGCAGAAACTGTCCGATAATTGGCTGAAGCTGGTCGGTTTGCCAACGTTTGATAATCCGGACCATTCGTAGATCCTTAGCTGAAAATAAAATTTGATGATTCAAGATAACAGTATCCAGTGTCCATATATACATACATTCACGGGATTGCATACGACATTACTCCATGATAGACACAACACCCATACGGTGCTATTCACTTCCGTTGTTGCTGCTATCTGTTGGATACTATTTCGACGACGGTTGCTGATGTATCG